CGGCGCCTGTGGGAAAGTGCCGGGGAAAGGCGATAAGCAGGGGGACAGGGCAGGGCCGGCAGTCGTTTCTCGCTGACACCTGCTTGCAGAAGAAGTCCTCAACAGGGCTGGGGAGCCCGCAAGGACCAAACCCCTTAAGATTCCCAGAGAGTCCAGGGAGCTCAGGAAAAAAGGGAGAACACTCCTTTATGGACTTCAAGTTACAGCTCTCCTCCTCCGAGGAGGAATGTGAGTGCGCAGAGAGGCAAAGTACTTGCTGTTTGCCAGAAGCAGAGACACTGCAGCCCGCAAAGGGGACATGTTATACTGGAATGGAAGGCCCTTGCCCCTTAACGATACCAAATCTGCAAATCCCAGAGCTTGAGGAGAGTTTGGGGACTCAGAGTGAGGGAAGTGCCGTGGTACAAGTAGAGAGAGTCGAGAACAAGGAATGGCATTCCTGCACATTGCCAACAGTGCTAACCCTTGAGGAGAGGTCTGAAAGCCCCCCAGACAAAGGCAGAAAGAGGTCTTTAGAAACCGGAAAAGTAAAAAGAACTGACAAGGCGGAGCGGTCTTCCTTGTCTGAACTGAAACCTCAGGAAAAAGTAGAGGCCCCAGGGAAGAGGGATGGATGTCTTTTGACAGGATCAGGGGAGCCAGGGACTCTGGAGAAAAAGAGATGCTTAAGCAGGAAAGGCTGGGCATCTTTGGTGAAACCAAAGCTACAAAGTCCAAGAAAGAGAGGTAGCTCTTCCTTAGTAGAACCGCACATACAGCATCCAGCGTCCAAGAAAGGAACAGTGAGTCTGAACGAGAGGGAGGGACGCTCGGCGCTACCGCAGCTGCAGAGTCTGAGCAGCCAAGAACAACCAGCAAACCGAGGAAAGAGGGAAAAGCATGGCGTGATAGAAGAACATCAGAGCTCAGACCCTCAAGAAGGAGCAGGTGGTCAGGGGGAAAAGGGTAAGCACCTGTGCTGCTCTGTAGAAATAGAGGTGCAGTGTACGGCCTTTCAGAATACAGGTTGCTTAAGGGTGAGGGACTGGTGCTGGAGCAGGACATCATGAGAAAGTGCAAAGTCAAGGGAGAGGATTTTTCTGTTGCAGATACAAGCATCTGGGTGGGGCAGCATCATGAGCACAGGATAGAGTGGCCAGTCCCTTGTCTCAAATTGACATATAGAGCTGCTTGCTTAGCACAGGAAGCATAGCAGAAAGAGCTAGGGACTGCTTTATGTAACTGTGAATACCAGTCTTAGAAGAAAACAGGAGGCGACGCTTTTGTTCAAGAGAACGGAAACCTCTGAAATTGGGAGGAGAAAATAAGTCTTTAGTAGAGAAGAGAGGAGGCTGTGTAGCCTTTTGGTTTTATTTTATTTTCCTTCCTTGAAACTCTTTAGAAATAGAAAAGGGTAGGGGTATCAGCAGCAACAGGCCCCTGAGCAAGAATTGGGTTTTTCCTCAAAAACCATCTGTTCGTTTACATGTAGAAGGTCAGACGCAAGCGGGGAAAGAAGAGGCAGTAGTTTCAGCTAAGCTAAAAAGAAAAGAGTTAATTCTTCATTTGTTTTCATATTACTGGATTATTTTCTTACGTGTGTAATGTTGTCTTGGGGTTTTGCTCACCTTTATAGGCTACTATTCTTTATTTTCGGATCTTGTTACTCCTTTTTAATTGCTATTCTCTGTTAAATCTTAGAAGCAGTAGGAGAAAATGCTGTATTTTAGTGTATTAAGAAAGTATTGTATCAAACCGACAGTTTTGAAAGGCTATGTTTTGGAGATTATCTTCTTGTTTTTGTTTTTTTTTCTTAAGCGTACTCATATTTTTCTCAGGACAACTGTCCTAAAAGATCATCATCTTGGAGGAAGATATCTTCAAAATGAGTCTGTTCAAATAGCAGGTATTTGCTCTAGGGTAGTATTAATAAGTACTTCCTGTAAATACCGTATTCTGAAAAACCGATACATTAAAACTGTATGTTACTTTGACAACTGAGTTCTTAAAATTTTACTGGTACGTTTTTTAGTCCATTTTTCAGATAAAATTCTCAAGGGTACAGTTCTTTTAGGTAATCAGTATTTGTCTTAAATAAAAAAGTTTTATAAAAATGCAAGTCCTGCAGGTTTTCTGATTCTTCTGGAACAGTCTGATGTGTTTGACTAGACTATATAGCTGGAATGAGTTCTGTATTCTTACAAACAAGCTTTTGCGTGACAGAGAATCCAGTGTGTAAACAAAAGGTTTTAACAAAAATGTGAAAGGCTGGTTGTGCAAACAGCATCTGCATTTTCTTGCAAGACTTGCTCTAATTTGGTTTCCCCCGATATTTTAAGTAACTTGATACTTCTGATTTGCTTGTGACATCCTTCAGGTTCTGTTCTTTTTCTGTGTGTTTTCAGAAGACAAGACGTAAGTCGGTATTGTGAGCGCTAATAGCGCTCGCTTATTAGTAAAGTGTAGCAATGCTTGTTTTAACATTATGCAGCATGATGGTTTTGGGTAATCTTGAATGTTCTTTGTCCTTATAAAATACTGCAATACATCTTTTTTTTCTTTTTCTTAGAATATTCTTTAATGAGACAGTTTCCTTTGTTTTTAACCAGCAAAGGAAAAGTGGAAAGAAATTGAGCAAGATTCAGGTACACAGGCTGTGAAGGAGCTCAAGACAAATTTAACTAGATCAGAAGATTCCAATGAGAAGAAACCTTATTCCTCTGAATGTCCTAAAATTGCCACATTGGATGGGACTCAAAGCAAGAGATTTTTATGCCATTCTTTAGCAAAAAGGTCTGATGTACAGTGTAAAAAAAGAAAAAATGGAATTGATCAAATAAAGTGTTTACAAAGATTTAGTGTAAGTACAACTGAAAAAGTGAAAAATATATCATCAAAGAGTGAGGCTGAACTTTGCGGAAACACCCTAACCCATTGTAACTGCTTGCCGTTTGTAACAGAAAAGAATCCAGTTGTGAGATTAGAGGCCTGCAGTTACATAAATACACTGGTGAAGTCTTCAGTTAATGGAGCTCCCAGCAGTTGTAAAATCAGTGGATTCTGCCATGTAGCCCAAGGTAAGAGGAAGCCTGTTTGTCCTGGTGGTACTGTAGAACAGAGGGATATGAACTGCAGCCCTAATGTAGTGCAGAATGAGAGATCACCCCTAAAAAGAGATTTCTTCTTTAGCAAAGAAAAAAAACATCAGAATAGAGAAGGGTATTTTTCATGCCTTCAGAGTGAAAACAGTAAGCCTTCAAGGGAAAGAAAGTGGAATATTGGTAGACGGTCTAGAAAAAAGTTGCAGATTGAGGAAACAGCAGTCCAGAATGTTCTCACAGACATGGCTAACAAATGCAGTGAATGTGAGTTACAAACAGAAAACCCAGGTGCCACGTCAGACTCCTTAGCAGTCTTTGGACTAAATCACAAGGGAATGACCCTGTCAGCTTCATATGATCATACCCCAAATCTTCATATTGAAAAAAATACTCATGAAGTGCAAAATACAGCAGTCAAAAAAAATAGCATCAGATTTCTTGCGCGTGAAGATTGCTTTAAGAAGACATCTGAGCTCTCCGTACTTGCAAAAGGAGAAAATTCAAGCAGCGTGACACCACAAGATTATTCTGCTACCTCGGGTATCCTGGGAGTGCTAACTCAGGTCAGTGATGTTTCTAATTGTCAGGAAAGCGTGTCAGATGAAAAACTGAATAAAGCTAGTAAGAAATTGGAACGTTCTACCTGTCAAAGAACAATACCAATGACTGGTAAAAATGTTTGGCCTCTGGAATCATGTGCAAGAACTTCTGAATGGTTTCATAAAAACCACAGGTCCATCTCAAAAGGAGAAAAACTTTTAAGTTCTGGCTTCGAGGAATCCTCTGATAAGAGCACGATGGAAGCTGTAGGAGACAGTGCTCTGACTAGCGATTTGAGGCAGTTGGATCCTCATACATCATCAGCAGAAATTAGCAAACAAGCTGCACATAAAATAACGGATCTGAATACGGAATGTCCAACTTCACTTGAAACTCCAGAATCCTCTTCCTTGGATGTTTTTGGGACTTTGAGAGTAAGTAGCATTGAAAATCTGGATTCGTCAGTTAACGCAAGTAGAAGTTCCATGGCTTTTAACCGTGATGATGTGCAAGAAGTTAAAGCAACTTGGAATTCTACGACAAAACAAAAAGATAAAAGTAAAGGAGCTATAACAAAAAGAAACCCCTTTTTGGCAGTCCAGAATGCTACATCTATGGATAACAATAGTAGAATAAACTTTAGCCAGAAAGCATCAGTTGTGAAGCAAACACTTTCTGATTTAAAACTAATGAAAGCATTAAACACTGGAAACCTGTCAAATTTCAAAATTCCTTTACGCAAAAACAAACCTGAATCTAGAAAGTTGGAAGCTGTTCTTTCATTTGAAAGAAAACCCTGCAGTCCACTAGAAGTTCTGGACAATGCTAGTGTTTCAAGAAGGCCGAAAAGAGACGAAGAAACGTTTATGGTAAATTCTGAGCAGCCTCTTTCTGTCGTAACTGATGTCTCATCTACAGCTTGCATGAAGAAAAAAGCTGATGATATCCACAGCAAGGACTTTGAGCATGATGGCTCTGAAGACCTTTCAAATGAGATGCCTGCGTTCCCTCGACATGTTTCTTTCTATCCACATGCTGTTGTTGAGAGACAGCTGGGGTCATCCACTTCTGAATCTCGGACTACTGAATATGTGTCAAAATCTAATCTTCCTGATCATTCTTGGAATGCAGTTGACCACCCTGTTGCATTAGAAATGCACGATAGCAAATCAAGCGGGAATCTTTCACAGCACAGAAGTGAAAACTTCCCAGATGCTCTTGAAGCTTACAAAGAAGATATTCTTGTGATTGATGTGATCCAGGATGACCCTGACCTTTTTGGAACCAGTGATGGCGAGGACCCTGCACTCATGGACTCTGAAAATTGTCCTCTGAAGAAGTCCTGTAGTAGTATCTTCATTGCAGAAGAAAAGCCAGAGTTTAAGCCTCAGTTTCCTGTCATTTCAGAAAATAAAGATTCAGTAGATCATTTTAGGTATGCATATCATTCTTTAGGATAACAATACTCTGAAGTAGTTTGATCTCCTATCAGTAGACTTTGATTGTAGTGATTAGACTTCCTTACGAAATTTCACTAATTTCTGTATTAATTTTAAGTGTCAGAATTGGGTTGAGGTATGACAGTATTCTGAGTATAACTACAGTGTTTTCATGAAAACTAGAATAAAACTCTGAATCCAAGGAGAACCTAGTGCGGAAGAACTGGTCTAGACTATGTGAAGTGAAATATGAAAGTATACACAAAGCTAAGTAAGAGTAGTATTCTTAATAAATAACTGAAATACTTTTCTTTAGCAGTGTCTATTTGAGAGTCAGTTTTTAGTTGTAAAGTGGTATACTGCTTTGAAATATTTCTTACTTTCTAATGGTAGCTTATTCTTTTGTTGGATCTATGTGAGTAAATGGTTGTTTCTGCAATTGCATTCTGTTCTTTATTCTTCCCTGCTTTTATCTTACCCCAGACATGTGAGTCACTTTCAGGTCTGTAATTTGATTAACCGGTTATAGATGTTTGTGCTTCTGAATCTTCATTCATGAAGTTTGTGTTATAAATTATTCAGCATTTATGTTTTTCTAGGTTTTGAGGAGCTGACAAGTCAGTGAAGGAGGGGGAAGAATTTAAAAGTACCACTAAGCTTTTACGAAAGAAGCAGTGATCTTTGTGCGTTAGATTAACTTGTTAACTCTGTAGTCTCTTTTTCTCTAAATTCTGGTATTTGCATTTGATAAATGAATTTTAAGATTAAATTCCTCATCTTATAAGGAAAAATGTAAAGCTTTTACAAAATTTTCTCTAAAGATGAATTTCTCAAGACTTTTGTTTTTGTTCTAATTTTCTTCCGTGCTCTTTTTGGGTGGCTTTATGCTATCTTTATTTTAAATAATAATAATTTTCATCATTGTACCATGTTTTAACTGGCAGGATTTTATTTGACTCTTTGCTCTCTTTCCTTTCCCCTTCATTAAAATGATGTGTAAAAGCAGAAAGGAATTGTATTATAGTAAAGGAAAGGAAGTAGTATATTATATAGTAAATCTATTAAAATGACTATTCACTCTGTGTTTATATACAGTGTATGTTATATTTTATACATGCTATATATTAGAATGAGTATTCACTGTATATTAGCCCAGGCAAATAACGGCTGTTCAGAAATGGACACGTTTTTCAGTTGCCTGTGTCAAGACAGCACTCGCACAGAATGAAACACCAGAACGCCTGAGCCCTTTCCTCCCGTGGCCAATAGACAAATGTAAAGTTTGCTGTTTATATAATACCAGCTGAAAAATTTTGAGGGCCTTTAAAGTAGATTGTGAGGAGGATACACATTTCCTTTAATTAGCAATGAGATTGAGCTAGACTAACATTATCAAAGCATTAGATACATGAACACCAAACTCGTTTGGCTTATCTCATGCATACTCAGTTTTGCTCCATTGCAATATTACTCTGGAGCGCCGCTTCCGCCTATCAGCAGAAAGCAGTGAGTCAAAGTCGTAGTATTGTTAACCATCTCAAACTTGGATAAACTTGAGTACAGATGCCTATTTTTCATAACATTTGGTTGGAAAACTAGATCTTGTCATATAGAACAGCAGTGCAAACACTGGCTGCAGGGGTGGGTGTTGCTGAATGTTTTCTTTAGCTGCATCAGTACATAGTTTTTGTTATGATTTCTCTTCAGACTAATAGGAACAGCAGATGATGATAGAAAGAATCTATATTCAGGTCCCCTAGATCTTTGCTAAAGCTCTGTGTTAGTACACGTATGCCTGGAGGTGGACTTTGGTATGTTAATTCTGATGTACTGGTATTTTATGCTGGCACTGGTACAGAGCAGTGAGACCTAAACTTCTGCTAGCAGCGAGTTATTGTGAAAGTACATAGCTTGGCTGTTTAAAGCTTTTGAAATGTGTTCCATGTCATTTATGGATTTACTTGTGGTTAAATTCAAATTGCAAAGAAAACCATTGGTGCGTTAATCTGTACTCTTCTTCCAACCTCAAATTCTGTGATCGAGGAGCTTGTCAAAATGACAGCTGGTATAATGAACTAACACTTTTTATTCAAGTTTTCTTGTGAAACCAAAGCACTGGAACTATGTGAAGGGTGTAACAGATTGGTTTAATAATTGCAAATGTCGGTGGTAACTATTAGCAGTGTAGGTCCCTCCCCTCCAATCCTCCCCTTCCCCCCCCCCCCCCCCCCGAATCTAAACACCAAGACATCTTTATCTGTTGATGCTTTTCATCTTTGGCTGTTTGTGATCTTAAGTCAGAGGGCTTTTTAAGTTCTGAAAATTCAAGGATAATAATTTTCAAGTGCTGAATGTCAGATAATGAGAGTACATCTCTTTGTAAAGTAGGACACGTTGGTCACAGCAGTGATTAAGGCCCATATTCAAATAAAGCTCTTTTTAACTAACAAGGCACGTTACAACCAAAGAGGCACCTAACCTTGCTAGATGTCTGTCTTTTCAATTTAAACTTCCCTAGGTACTGTAATTGTGCTTGTGTATGTGCCCAGAGTCGATGTCTATAAGCAAGTAGGTGTTTAGCTCCTATCTGTGACCCACTAAGATTCAGGAAAAGCTCTGTGTGTATGTATATGTCCTGAGTGGTTTGATTCAGTTAGCACACTCTGACCTCTAGGCTTTGTAGGACTGGTTATCCCTCTCATAGTCGCATTTTAAGAGAAGAGTGAGCACTGCTCGCTTCCAGCCGTTAGTTGCCTGTCACCAGGAAAGGATTCTGGACCTGCACCCTGAATGGGGCAGTGAAAGTTCTTTACAGGAACTTACAATTGTTTCCGTAAATATTTCGCACTACAGTAAATTAGTAGAACTCGACAAAGATTTGGGGGTGATTTTTGATGTGCACATGAAGTATTTCAGTGTCTTGACAGTTGTATACTTTCAGTTTTAAGCGGTGTTCATGAAGGTGACAGCTTTCTGGATCTGTCTGCACTGCAACTTTACAGAAAAAGTCAATTCTTGTAGGCAGAATGATTCAATCCTTGCATTTCACTTAAAATGTATGGTCACATGAATGGGCAATAGGGAGAAAGACCAAGTAAGCCTGCAGAAAGCTTGCCTTCTACTAAAAAGCTCTCTTCTCTGCAAACTTGCTTTAACTTGGCATGAAACTGTTTCTTAATACTGCTTGTAGCTCTGTGTAGATATCTGTGCGTGAATGTTTGTGTAGCTTAGAATTACCCTTACTGGGAAATTTTCTGATTTCCACTGAATTGCCGCAAATTATCATATTTCCATTTTAATAGGCAGCTTCCTGTCGTTATAGTTGGTCTAATTCACCAGACGTGGGCTTCCAGAGTCTCTAGTGATGCCGCATACCTACGTAAATATGCATATATACAAACACACACACACACACATGCGTATATAGGTATATATTTTACCATTTGTGCTTTTCTAAGAAGAAATACATGATTTTTTTCCCAAATTATCTTAAAAATGAGTGAAGTAAGAATCTTTTTATAAATGTTTTTGTTGCTGGCTTTGGAATTCATTGCTATGAATTGTCTTTAATACAAAATTATTATAAACCTCGGTTTTTTAGGAACTTATAAATTGACTCTTTGGCACAATATTTCCATAATTTGCTATGTAGCGAAGATTCCCTTCCAGTATTTTAGGCAAATGTGAAAGGAGATGATGAGCTCTTACTAGAAATTTCCAAGTTTGAAATGCCTTGTCTTTACTTAGTATGTTTAAGTGTAGATCTACAGAGATGGACATAGGATAGCCAAAAGAGAGAGATTTAAAAATAGTCCAATGAGGATAGTGTGTTGTAAGTAAGGATTTTAGCCATAGCTAAAAATATTTATTACTGAGAACTTCAATTGTATGCAACTGCTTAGATTATTTTACTTTTGTGGTAGAAATTTAAAATAGAATTTTTGCTCAAAACAGAGACAGTACGGCACAAGCGTCTGGAATGATGAATGATACTGAAAATGCCTGTCATTTGGTGCTAAAAGGTAAGAATTTTTGAATGCGTACTCAGGAGAAGAAAGTAGCAACGAGGATATTCAACAGCAAAACCTAGAATTCACACTTTCCAAATAAAATGGGAACCTGTCAGTTCAGTAATACCTTTTTATCGTGACAAGGATTTATTTCCAAAATGTATATAAAACAAATGCCTTTTGAAATGGTACAAACATGAATTTTACAGAGAACATGTACTGTCCTGTAGTACATGTCTATTGGTAGTCTTCCCCTCCCACCCCCCCGCCATCTGACTTTTCTCTGATACAAGGGGCAAGAAACAGCTTCTTCTATTAGCTGATGAAGCAGTAGGAGGACCCCGAGTACTGTCATACCGCTTTGGAGTTTGACTCGTGATCTCGCTTGGTTGTTCTCTTGTCTCCATCATCAGACAGAATTTTATAATAGCTTTTTTTTTCTAGGATATACTTTTGTTGTTTGCAGATGCCATCCCTGTTCCTCTGGCAAGCTGTTTCTTTTTAAGGACGCTTTTTTTTTTTTTTTTTTTTTTAAACGAGGATACTTGGACTTTTTTTTCCTTCATCCTATTTTAAGCAGAACTCTCCAGCTAGGCAGTATCTGAATGTGGTCTGTTTTGTTTTCTACAGCTTGTGTACAGACCTACTATGCAAAGTACGTCTGATGTGGAAGTTTCTCTTAGATAGGATGGAGGTACAGAATTTTGACTTTGAACAGAAGTTTATTACCGACCTACTGGAGGAGGCACAGAGTGCAGAGACTGGTTTTGAAGGTTCATGGTGTTTCTGGTGTCAGTTGTCAAGTTGCTGTTAATCTAGCAATGTGCTGTTACGTTCAGTTTTGTTGCAGGCTTGAAAGGTGTCTGATGGACAGTATCTCTTCTGGTTGTTTTTTTTTCTCCATATTAATATGTTATTCTCCTGCAGAAAGAGCAAGTGTTATGGACAGATATAGCCTCCTGGAGAAAAAGGAGAGACTGAATTTTCCCTTCATGATAGTGAGTGCATTTGATGGAGAGAAGTTTTCAAACTTCAGTGAGTAGAAGGCAAGATAAAAGATAGTGAGGGTTTAAGAGCTCCTGAAGAAGTTGAAACAGATAGGGAGACTATTGAGGAAGAATAGGGAGCAGATACACAGCTAGACCTTTTAGCATGTAAAGAGATGGGGCCGGGGGGACTATTTTGTGGTATCTGCAGTATGGAGGTAATTGAAACCGAACCTGGAAGCAAGAGCACCTGGAAGCCTCACAATCAAGAGGTGTTTTGTTTATACTGCCTTTTACTTCTGTCTTGTACTATTAATTGCATCTTCATTTTCTCAAATAGTATGGCACTGTATTTCATATTTAATACAATTTTGAGGCTAGTAAGTCTTTGGATCTTTTTGCTGTGTTTACAATAAGGAAAGAGGTTTAGGCAAGTCATGTTTCCCAGGTCTGAATAACTTAGGGATCAATCACAGTCTGAAGTTACCATGTGCATACAGATCTATGCTTGATGCGTGCCTTTTAAAGAATAGAAATGGCCTATATAGAACAAATGAAGGATGACTGTTCTTGATAATTACCGAGGATTTATGTATTTATTTAGAAATATGTGTTAATGCTTCGGTGCCTTGTATTGCATAGTGAGAGCATGACTTCTTGTCTCAGTGGCTTCACAGAGTGTAGGAAGGCCAATAAATGCTAAGGTTGAGCATTCTGGATGACATCAACCCTCATCATCTTTCAAGTAGAAATATTATATACGTAGCCTTCATGCACATGTGTGCTGATAGAGATGTGGAGGCCAGTAACTGTAAGATAAAAGCTTTTTCCAGTGATAACCTGATTCTTTCCTCCGGTCTCTAGACAGCATGGTGCGGTCAAAATTCATTCATATGATCCAGTGAAATAGTGAATTTCTCTTCTGTGCAAAGCTCTTAATTTTTGTATGTGAAGAGCTTCTTCAGAATGCTGTAGTCACGTGTTTTGTTCATTTCCTGTGGCACCTTCAAAAGGTGTTGAAATTTCCTGACACTGAATGCTCACGAAGTTTGCTGTATTATGGCAGTTTGGAGTTTCTCGGTTGCCTTTATTTAATTCTGATTTACATTATGTCATTATGATTAGCTTATCTCCTTCTCCAGCAAAGTCTTAAGTTTTTATTTGCCTAGCAAGTTACCGTGCATACCTTTGGCTGTTCTTTAATAATAAAACTTAACTGAATTTATTTTTAAAATATTGATTTCAGTATTGTATAAACAAACCTGTTGTACTATTCTACAGGGGATGGTTATAGAACATACAGCATGGGTAAATCTTTAATTGCAGATTCAGTGTAATATTTACTTTGCAATGGTTCATACTCAGAAGGTGTAATAATTTTACATAAAACTGTCACATTTAGGAAGTCCTAGGAGTTCTTAAATGTCATTTCTATTAAGTCTTTGAAATACCTAGGAAATAAAAACTTTGTCTTGTAGTATGGAAAATACATAAAGTAATATGTTTATAAATTTTCAGCTAATGAAATTAAAACTCACAATTCATCAAGTGGAAGCAGTCCTTTGGGAGGTGTTACTGAGGACTCTTTTGAAGATGGGCAACTGAGTGACCTAGATGAACTTCTGAAGGGTTCTGACATGGATGAAGAGGTACTGGGAAGTCACGCTTTGTCACTGAATAATTTAGGAAATTATAGTCCATGTAATTGGATAACTTTAATTACTAATGGTGTTTCATCAATGACATTTTTAATTTCCTGCAGTAAAGAGAATACTGCTTTCACAGTTGCATCATTGTGTGCTGTTGACAGAGTGAGAGCCTTGTTTGACAGAACTTTTGATTTTCTTACCTGTCACTCATAATTGATCTTCAAATTTGAATTCAAGCAATGTCATATCAGCTATTATAGTAATTCTGTATTAGCAATTGTATAAAAAGTACTGTTCCAGAAGATATCCAAGAGCACTTCTATGCATCGGTAATATTTTTACATAACATAATTTTTAAAAGTTGCTGTTAAGTGCTTCTCACCCCACAGTCGCAGAAGAGTGGGGTGGTACTGGGAAGCTGGGAGAGCTGCACAGCCAGCATATCAGAGGAGGAACATTCTGTGGCTGATAAATTGGGCAGAAGTGTCACAGCATCAGCATACTGACTTCCTGGCAATTCAGATAGAATATTAAGCCATTTGCATGCTCAGTGACATTATCTGGCCTTTCTACTTTTCCTCCCCTCCTTCCCCTAGATAATTTAAGTCTAGGAATTTTAAGACTTGCTGAAATTTTTTGCTGTTTCCTTCTCTGATCATGGATGGGAATTTGCATCTCACTACCAGTCAGACATAAGTGCTGATAGTGTTTACTGTTTTTTCACTACATCAAGAGTGGATAAGGGATTTAACTGGATTAGTTAAACTGTAGAATTCACATGGCTAAAAATTTGGTAAGCGTGTGGAGTAGGTAGTCAGATAATAAGGGATCAGTTTCCCTGCTAGAATCATTATTTAAAAGCAGAGTAGAAACGTTCCTGCAGTGAACGAAATTAGGGCTCCTGATATCTGGTTCAGAAAGTAAACAGGACAATTTTGTCCCCTGACCTCACATTAAGAGAGAATAAAGGAATCTGGCGGTGAGCTAGAGGAAGGTTAATAGCGTGGGAGACATCGATAGTAACTCTTAACAGTATGGACAGGTTATTGGAAGAGTGGTACTTGTTGCAAAATCTGTAGTTGTTGTCAGGCCACTCCCAGGTGGGCTACTTCATAGTGTTCTGACTTTATAAAAACAGTGTCCGGACAAGTTTACTCTTCTGTGCTGTCTTGAACAACAGTAGATACCTACTACTACTCTCGCCTAAACTCCAAACTTAACTCCACAAACTTGCACCACAACATATATGTTACAACCCTAAACCTACCTCCGTATGTGGATGAAAAACTGGCTGTGCAGACTTGGGTAAGGGAGTGGAAGGGCAGACTCCTTCCAAGTACTCTAATGGTTTGGGGTTTTGTATCTGTTTGTTTTTTAATGGCTTTTCAATCTTCTGTCCTTTTCAAAGCACTGGAAACTAACCATGGAGAAAATCCTAAATGTACGGGGGAACTGGTGAAATGAAATTTGTAAATCTGATGAGAGCATATCCTTCTCTAATTCTTTGACTGTCATAAATTTGTGATACAATATGAGGTTAAGCAGCTTACTGCATGAATAGTGGACAAAGTAAAGCCAGAATTCCACGAGTTTGCTCTGTATCAGTCCCTTCAGATTCTCCCCCCACCCCTGAATATCTTGGGTGTTTTTTCCTCTGCATTTTAGAGGGTTTTTTCCCCTCTATTCCTTGAGGTGCAGCTGAACAACAGCCTCAGATTTCTTCTATGTGCAGCTTTAAATTTTCATTGAACTTGGTAGGAATGTCTTTTGTGGGATTTCTACACGTCTGTCAGCTGCAGCTAAAATTAAGCTGTAGGGCTTTTGAGGCGGGCTTCAAAATTATGGGGAAGAAAGAGAAGTGAGGAAACACCCATTCAATCATGTCATCACTTTTTTCCCATGAAAAAAGGCCATGTCAGGATCAAATTTGTAAAGGTTATATGCCAGTTAAAAAGATTGTGCAAGGATAACTGTACAGTCCAAATAATGTTTTTATAGTCAAGACTATATTATCAGACTTTTCAGCAAAAGACTTCCAGGTTTAAGTCTGTAGTGTAAAACATAACAGGCTTGTTAGTGCTGCGCTGTATACTGAGCGATCTGAAAGTATATTGTAAATATTCTCGCAGTTCAAGTTTGCAGATGGGATGGCTGGTATTAAACAAGAAGAAGCAGGTGAAGCTGGAAAAAGGTATGTATACTTTGAGTAACCTGTGAAGTTTCCCAGTCACTGTACAAACGAAAGATGATGCTTTTATCAAAACACCATCAGGCTTTTAATTCAGTTTTTCTGTTATACTGTTACTAGATATGGAAGAAAAGAAATACGTGAAATAGTATTTCATTATGCTAAATTTGAGAAGAAAATTATAATCATAGCCTGATGCATTATTAGAAGACGTTTTGTCCTGACTGGTGACTTAATACATCCACTTTATGCGAGTGTCTTACCAATTCTGGCATCTCAAAAGGAGTATAGTGTTTAAGTTATATTTCCAGCCACAATAGCACTTACCAGAACTCCTTAAAAATTCACTAGCCCTTAATGAAGCTTTAAGCTTTCTTTGCTGTCTCTTGAGACTTTTCTGAAATTGATGGAAGGATTGAAAGACTCTCACTCACGTTCAGGCTGACAACTCTTTGAACAGCAGTAGAAAAAGGTGCCATAGAGTTAAACGTATGGGTAACTGCTATGCTAACCTCAGCATAACACTGTTGCATGTGTGACTTGAACTGTGAGAGTAAAATACCTCCCTCCCTGTGATACCAAGCCCCAAAAAGGAGTAAGGCTTTGTAGAAAAAATATACTTAACTGTTGGAATAGTTAAGTGATTGGAAGAGAAACAGGGTAACAGACATTCCAGAGTCGTTTTCACAGTAATTAAGAGACTTCAGTTTGCATAGAAGAGAGCATTGCTTTTTTTACAGCACCGCTCACATTTATGTGACAGAATTCAAATTTAACAGACATCCATTAAGTAGAGAATATTGCATCTTTTCGTTAACCAGCCAGAGAACTCCAAGCTCTTCCTGGTAAAATATCTATATGAACTTACTATAGTAGCATAAATAGCTCTTTATGCTATAGCATAGGTAGATTATGCTAGATAAAAATGTATATGCAAATGATACCAGATTACTTCACGTCTTTTCCGTAACATAGCATCAGAGCAAAGATTCACTTAGTGAATCCATCATTTATCCATCATTTGGAATCAAACTATTTTCACTAGTTTATTCAAAAATACTATCATTGCAAAGTTTCATGTAGAAGAAACTGTTCCTGTTTAGCAAACTCTGCTTCTAGTAATGATGTTACTTAGAAATTGATTGTACGGTTATCTAGTTCACAGTTCTTGGCAAAATAGTGTGTAGTCTGATCTCTAGATGAAAGAGAGCTGTGGTTGTTACCCTGAAGGTAAGCTGCTATGAAAATCCTGTTAGGTTCTAAGCTGAAAATTTTGGGTAACTGGATCCATGAGTTTGTTCCTCTGGAGACTAATATTCCAGCTAGATTAAAAATAAAAATGGATATTGAAGGGAGTTGGGCTTATTATTAGATTGAATTTATTATTCTCTGCAGTAGCTTTTTTTGCTTCAAACTATATTAAGATCAGCCCACAATTTAGGAAAGACTTGAATTCTCCTGGCTATGGAAAGTATTAAATGAGTAGTAGTTCAGAAACTAGAATGTTTCCCTGATAGGGGATGGCAAGTCTGTTTCTCTCTCTAAAGAGCAAGCAGGCTGAAATGTCCTTTGTATTATATCTGAGTACTTAGTTGATGGGGGAAAAAGAGATCTCATAAATGGAGATTTTTTTTTCTATGACTTAAATGATATCTTTCTTATTTGTAATTAAAGTATTTTGCTAGCAATATTTGTACCTTAATTTGGAAAACATCACGCTTCAGTAATTTAATTGTCTGTAACTTAAATATTTGGGGATAGTTAAAGGCAAAACAGATCTTAATTGAGGTTCCCTTCAAAGTCTTCCAAATCTTCTGCTGGGCGTAATAGCTTATTAGAAAAGAAAACAGTTAGCTCCTCAAGCACAATTTCAAAAGCTTTGTGGATTTCTTTGGCAGAGATTACATAGCAGTTTATTGAAAAGGAGGTGTTTTCAAAGACAACAGAAATCATTTCAACCTTCCTCTCAGTGGAGTGAAAAAAGTTAAAAGTGATTCATGGGTGACTCTTCTACTTATTGACTGAATCTGATATAGTTATACCTTAGGGCAGGATAATCTCAGTTGATCATAATCCAGTGTGCCTAGGGTGTGAGAGAAATGAAAGTATTGTTGGGATTGCTAGCCATTTAAATTTATAGAGAGTGTTTAGGTGTTACTTTAACTGTTGGAGAAATTCTCATCTTTTATACGCTTTAGGTATTTAGTTTATGGGAGAAGCAACCGATTGACTTGGTTAAACAAGTGTGTGTGTGTTTTAACACTCAACAGTGACTGCAGATTTAAAGATCTTTTGAACTGTGAACTTCAGTCAGGATTGACATTGCCTGCCCTGAAAGTAACTGTGCCCAGTGAAGGAACAGTACTGAAACCCTGGACGAATGGTTCGTATCCTGTATTAGTAAACCCTTCAGAGTGTTTTTTGTTTTTTTTTTTTTGTGTGTGTGTGTTTTATTTCCCTATAAAATCTTAAAGAATTTCTTCAGTTTCTGAAGACATTGGCTGGAGTTTATTTTAGTTTGTTTATATAGAAGCAAAAATGGAAGCTATCATATGGTAAGGCTGGTTTTTGTTTTGTTTAGGCAGGTTCCCATCTGGTAATGTCAAATAGCAGTCATTTTATCTTGGTATTTATAGTTCTCAGATACTTTAATGGTACAGTACTGCCCATATTCTTAGTATTCTGGCATGTTGTATTTGAGCCACATTATGGGCAAGTAACTCTTTAAATCACAGTTAGAGAACATAACTAGGTTTTTTTGTTTTCTGTCAGCAGAGCTTCGTAAAGGGATTTGCCTGGCCTTGCCAAAGTTCAGAGCTTTCTTGTTTATGCCAGCTCAAATATTTGTGAGGCATTCACTAAACTGGATCGAGGAAATGATCTAGATTTAATAAGCAGCACTTTGTTTCAACCTGGGGTGTTTCACAAGTGGGGCAGGTACCTCTTAAGTGTCTCTATCACCAGAGAAATAATGCAATGGAACTACATTCAAAGTTTCCTGGTTTCTGCTGTTTTTCTCTGCACATGACAGCTCTGATATTTGGCCTTATATAAATGCATGGCTTTATTTGGCATATGAGATGAAGAAGTACAGGACTTGATTACTTACAGATAGGTATTGCATTCTGTTTCTGTGCCCCAGCTCTTTTGGGAATTCATGTTTTTAGAATGATTGGTTAATGTGGAAGCTTATAAATGAGGGTTTTCTAGATTGAGATCAGTGACATAGGTCCTTGCTTAGTTTCAGATTAGACTACTGTTCTGGGCACGTTGACTAATTTTTACCATCATGTCCTTTTATTATATTTCTGGAAGGGCAACAAACAAAGGCTATAAAAAGCAACTATGAAATATGGAAGGAATATGCGTCTCTAGACTACGCTGGTTTGAAATAGCTTATCTTTGGCCTTAAAAGCGTATCTCCTTTCAGGAGAGTTTTTCTATACTTTTCTTAGGATCAGTGGAAATAGTTGCCAGTGTGAGAACCTCTATATTAGGAGAGAGTAGAACAGAGCCTATTCTTCTCCAGAGCTGTGCGCACAGGATGGGCTGTGTCACTGTAGTGCCTTCTCCCCTATGACTTTGGCATATGGTAGGAGGGGAGAGTGCCGAGTGTTGAAAGGACCTGGCCAGAAGCTCTAGGCGGTGAGGGAAACCAGGAAGTGGCCGGAGCAGACTTCCGAGCTCCACAAGTTCTTGCTAGGGTTTTTCTGCCTGTGGTAGATGATTGTTTTCCTCAGCATTTTTTCCTGTCTCTAGGTTCATCCCACTTTACATTTACCAAACTCCCCACCACGATCACTGCCCAAAAAGATGCAGCTATGCTAGTAGCTATATGCACGTATTTAATTATTGTACATTATATTTCTCCTTCCCATCCTGTGATGATCTTGCTGATTTAGAAAGATATACTGAATAAGAACTATATACCTAGTATACATGTCTAGCAGAACATGCCTGGTTATTGGATGTTCTTAATTATTAACTATAGTTTGTCAGAAGATGCTAGGCACCCTGCCTTTTGAATAGCCAGTTCTTTCAAGGTACCAGATGGGCACCCCAGAAAACAAGGTATTCAAAGGCTCTTATTTCTCTTTAAATCTGAATTTGAAAACTAGAACTCCTAACTTCCATTAGCATTATTAATTCTTCAGGAAAAAAGTTTTAGAAGTTTAATTATTCTTGATAGCTGAGATTCCTAAGTTTTTGTTTAAAAGCTAGTACCTAACATTAGACTTGAGCTAGATGCTACACTGCCTAAAAGATGTAGATTATGAAAGGATTATTTTGATTCTGGAAAAATAGTTTTAATTCATTCTTGGTGACTTGGGAATGCAAGGATTACAGATCAAGTGGTGTTTTTTCCCTTTTGAAACTAAAACTCTAGCTATTTTCATTCCATTTCTTTCTTCATCTCAATAAGTCAGACCGGAGACCTTGGATAAAGTTTTACCTTTTTTAATTTAAGTGTTTACCATTAAGCACTTACTCCTGAAGTTTCTTTAAAGATTCAATTTAAGGATTATTAAGAAACCTGTGACTTATGTTACTGGTTTTAGATTGTATTAATCACATTTTCTTTAATCATTGCCTTGAATTGAAGGATTTCTAAATATAAAGCAAAACAAAATGAGTGAGTGGGTTTGGTATGATTCATTTTATTGCATGATCTGTTTATTGCCTTTATCCAAATTCTTAGATTTCAGATTTTCAGGAAAAAGTTCTCTACTGCCTTTGCAAAACTATGGAGATGCTGAGCCATGGAAGATGGAGAAAAATGTAAAAGTGAGTTGCTAAATTCTTAATGATTTCTGACACTGAGGCACTAATTTTGTTATGGATATTCCAGCAGTTCTCCAGGTGTCTATTCTGAAATTACCAGCCTATGTAGGCATACAGTTAAGGACAAAATCAATGATGAGAGGAGAGCTATTCACTGTGAAACTTTGTTTTCTATTTCTGGCTTAAATAAAAATCAAATAAGACTTTTTAATTTGTTGGTTTTGTAGAAGAAAAGCAGAGAAGGTTTCATATGCTCAGGACAGATGCATGATTATGCTGGGCCCTGAGAAGGGTAAAAGAAATTAATGCCAAACATTCTCAGGCTGTTACCCAGAGCCATGTAGCAGTTTGTCATCTTTATTCCTCCTTTCTATACTTTGTCAGTTTTATGCAGTTCTTCTTACGTTGTTCTATCTCACGTGGTCTTCAAGACAGACTTTCGTTGTGTTAAGCAATAAATAGGCATATGTAGTGAGGGATTAATCCTGGTCTGGTTTGAAATGTTGCAGGTATAGTAGAGAGGTGAGGGTTGTTTCAAAGGTTTGATTGTAGATCACTTTGTGTATTGTTTGCTTTTATTTACAATAGCTATATGTTTTGAATTTCTGGGAAAAAATGTTTGCTTTGGGACTTTTTTTTCCTGTGGATTTTTTGTCTTGTTAAATTTTGTTTTTTAGGCTTCCCATTCAATCCATCAGCTCCTGGAGATGATTGAATTGCCTCGTAAATATTGCAGACTTTATTTCATGACTTTGCGTGGCTGTGAAAGAGCAAAATGTTGGTTTTGGCATGTTCCTGAACAAGGGGATGAAAAGGTAAAGAGATATATGGAAAAATTGAGAGCCCCCCCCCCTTTTTTTTTTTTAATGCAAAACAGTCTTCTGTATTCATTTATATATCGAGTGGATTAGTTTCAGAGATTGATGGATCAGACGGCCCCCAGAAAGTCTTATTGTTAAGGTCTTTTTATAGTTCTTTAAAACTCTTATCCTAGAAAGATGGTAGAATTTTGAACTTGCAAAGTTTTTAAGAGAGCGGATATCGGCAAAAGGGCAAATATTGGGTTACAGAGTACTAGAATGGGGAGACTGAGACGTATCCTTCCCCAGCATCAAAGACCTTTAAGCAAACCGAGGCTTTGTATGTATTCTTAAAGTCAAGAGCCATTTATAATATTACCTGTTGCAAGTTTTGTGTAACAAGGGCATTTCTATACAAAGATGCTCTAATCTCTTCAAATGGAGCAGCTATTCTCATATTTGCATGCAACCCTGCTTCATCTCTCATTGTTTAATCTCCTGGTCAACTTTCTTTGACAGTTCATCACACTGCATGTTACCTCATTCAAATACAAGTGAAGCACCAGAGTTACTTGGTCCTAAGAAAATTAGGACATGTGAAAGGTGCGAACACAAAGCTCTTTGAAAGTGATTCCTTTAATTGAGATGATACCCAGAGATGATACCCATGGTTAACCGAAGTTCTTTATGAAAAGCATTCTTATTACTTTGGGAGGTATTTCAGTTTTGGCAGCTGAAAGCATGGAACCGTGGAAACTTTCATGTCACTTAGCAAAGAAGCATATGTTGTTGAAGGACATGTCAGTGAGCTGTTCTGTAAAAAGAAAACTGTGAACAGGCATCAAACTTGTATATTTTTAAGAGGCCATCTAAATAGAAATACCCTTGCAGCATCTGTTTAATGTCTCTGCATAATACGGTAGATGATGTGCGTAGAAGGACTAATCTCAAAAGGGAAAAGTGCGTCTCACTGCTGTACAAGTAGATGAACCTGCTGTGGTTTTGGTGAAGTTTACAACTTTTTGATGATTCTATTAGGAAAAAAAGCATATTTTGGACACTTTCGCTAGAACAGACCACTGAAAGAGTATCTTCTTGAAATGTTTGCTGAAATAACGTGTGTCTGCAGTGAAAGTTGGCATTAACTGAAAGAAATGTGCTGCTGTTGGCATTGGTGATGCCAAATCCATGACCATTAAAAGCAGTATTTTCAACTTGATTCTGAAACAGTGCCTCAAGTGTTTTGCAGTCATACTATTTTACATGCTGCCAAGCTGTTGCTGCTGAAAAGTTGCTTGGAGTATGTTAGATTCTGAATTAAGCAGCAAATGTCAGATATATTGGAAGTGGATCACAAAATGTTTTATCTAGAAACCAAAAATACCTCTTTTCATCAGCAGCTTCACTGTGCAGTAGTGGTTACACATATTCAGCTTTAATAGAGGTTTCTGTAAGGAAGTTTGTTTCCCTTATGTGATAATTTCAAGTCATAGTCTTCATTTTGTGACTTTTTTTTTCCCATCATTGCAATGGACAGCTGCTCTAGTGACTCTGGAAATCTGATGACTGTCTGCTTACAACAGTTTCTGAATCAGCTACAAAATTACTTTTCCAGTGATGGGCAAAGTAGATATAATTTCAAACCATTTAACAGAGAAATTAAGGGTTTGTAATACTTCAAGAACAATGCAAGGCAACCTAATTGTCTTGTCATGTAGTAAGATTTTGGAATTGTCTGTCTGAAACTTGAGACGTAGGTTACATAAACCACTTGAAAGCAAGCAATACCCAAACTTGGCCTTATCAAGTCTTATTTCTTAGCTGTTATCTCATGGTATGAGTTCTGATTTTATCATTAGTGTCAATAAGTGAAAAAATTACAGAATCAGAAAGCAAAAAATGACTAACTTTGGTATATTACTAGCTGAAACTGATAGAGCCAAATATTTTAAAAGAAAATTAGCATCTAAATGAGCTCATCCACCTTTCTCTGATATCTTAAATGTACTTTGCCAGAATTATAAAAATAAATCGGTATAATTTGGTTTTCTTTTTCTTACTGTTTTCTCTTTTCCTTTTCGTGTTTTGAAAAAGAGCTGTTTTTTTTTTTTTACTAATGCTTTGCAGCCCCTTTGAAATCTTATATTAGTTTTTAAGCCAAGTCATGTAATTTCTTGAGAACTAATTCTCTAATCGACTGCGGGAAAGTTTGCTTTCACCTCAACTGAAGGTGAAAAACTAAATTCTCTGCCTAAAACTATTACAAGGCCTTTCCATCTGACTTCTCTTGTGATGCAGCACTCCAGCATGCTTACTGTTCTGCCCACAGAGGCTAGCCTGACACTCTTGATAGTCTGGAAGTGTATTTTGGGTTTGGTTTTGTTTGTTTATTTTTTTAAAACTGACCGTTTAAAACAGATAATAGGCCAAGCACCTCATGGTGGCACCAAAGTACATAAATGGAAAATATGTAAAGCAGCGACAAAGAAGTCATCTAGTCAAATTAATAAAAAAAAAAAAAAATTAATCTTTTTAGGAACTGTCACGCAGACTGGTAGTCCACGTGCTCAGTACTGTGTTTTCAATGATGATCATTGCCAGAATTTTTGGAGAGGAGTATCTTTCCCCATAATGGAGGTTTTTTCCTTTTTGTTAAGTAACTGGTGGATGCTTTATGGCCTAAGCTACTGGGATTTAATACTCTTCACAGTTGTGTTTAATTATAAAGCACAACAGTGATTTAATTCATAAAAACATCATATACTTTGAAATCAGCATACGTTTGACCTCAGCAAGTTCTGCAAGCTGCCAGTTTTTTATATTTAAAAAAAAAAAAGTTGCCTTTAATTTCACTCAATGGCATTGCTTTTGTATTAGGCAGTGGTAAACAAAGCTGTTAAGACTGTATTTTAAATAATTCCCCAAAGAGAAAGGAATGTTGTTAACTAGGTATAGACATCTGTTATCCTTCCAAGAACAGCTGTCTTTCAGTGTTTACAGCTGTGTTCATCCTGTCCATTCAGCAATTATAGGAAATAAGGCTGGAAGATTTTGATCACTTAATATTTAAAAGGCCATATGAAACTGCATAATTTATTAATTCAGGTATCTGAAGTCTTCAGGATTTTGGAGAGTCTTTACGTGTAGAACGATGGAATGCTGCTTCTGAAATTTTTCAAATGACTGTCAGTGTTTCTCTAGCTCTAACAACTTTAGTAGTTGTAGGCATTTGTAAAAAGCTCTTCAGGGGAAGTAATATCTTTAAAAAAAATTTTTTAAAAAGTTTGTATGTTGTCCAGATACCTAGAGTGGTCTCACTGCAGTTTATAATTTTGTTAGTAAAAGAATAATGTTTTTGACTGTAAACTTAAAATGGCAAGATGGTAAGTCAGCAGTACTGATTGGGCCTGGTCTAATCAGTAATATTGTCAATTAAGGTTAAAATTTTTTATGCAGGAATGTGAAACTAGATTATTGATTAGAAAAATTAGTTACTAGTATGTAGAAGTATTTCCTCTTCATGTATCAGTAGTATGTTGTTTTGCAGTACAGGTGCATTCATCACTAACCTTAGTGGAGGGAAAAATGACCTTTTTTGAAGGAAAAAAGGTGCCCAGCACACTTCTTTCAGACCTAATTCTTTGAAGTTGCATGGAGTTCGTTCTTAAATTTTATTCCCCTTCATTTTTTATAAAATGAAAAGGGATTAAACATTTGCCTGTAGGCACAGTGGATGCATCTCACTTCCTGATGAGAAGTCTTAAATTTGACTGAGATATTTAGTGTAAATCATCTTCTAGTCCTTCTGGCATGACTGGTCCAACCAGTGAAAAAAATCTGTTTTGAGAGTGTAACAAATCAATGAATTTTATCTTCATGTACATTTAGAGACCTCAATTCAAACCATACTCTAGAAGGAGGATGCAGCTCTCCTTGACTCATGCTATAGAGTATGCCTGCATCTTCTCACTGAACTTTGGGCACAGGGAGATGCTGTCCTTGTCTGCAGGACAGGTGGAGGTGTGCATTGGTTGAGGACTTGTGTCAGTAAGTAAAGGAGCGGTGGGAGGAAGTCAATAGACTGTGCAGCAGCATCAGAAATGACAAAGAGATTGACCAGATCTCCAAGACCCTGCAGACACGAGACTAAACCACCAACTATACCAAAGGAGGTGCAACCAGAGTCCGTGCTTATCAGGTTGGGAAGTGGAGACTTCCACGATGGCAAAGACTGGAAGCTTGTGACTTTGAGGAGCAGGAAGACAGCTCCTGCTCCACCTGCAGATCTGCAGGTTCAGTGCCCTGAGAGCAGATGAGGGGCTGGGAACTCTGTCCAACAAAGCAGCAGAGCCGGTTGAGCCTGAACCGCGCTGGAGCACCATGAGGAAGCCGGGAGCGATAGTTGTGGTCAACTCGCTGCTGCAGGGGACAGAGTCCCCTATCTGCCAACCTGACATGGTGTCTAGGGAAGTTTGCTTCTTGCCAAGGGCTTGGGTTCTGGACCTTGTGAAAAAATTGCTGAGGCTTGTCCAGCCCTCAGAGAATTATGCTCTATTGCTACGTGGGCACCAATGATATGGTCAGGGGAGGCCTGGAGTGTATCAAGTGTGGTGATGGTCAAGGGCATGGGGACCAAGGTAGTGTTCCCCTCAACTGTGCTAGCTAGGGGTAAGGTCTTGAGGAGGAGTGAATGGATCTTATGAGTCAACAGCTGGTTATGCAGCTGATGTTGATGAGAGGGATTCTGCTTTTATGATCCTGGGACCCTCTTTAAGGA